GCTCGTGATAAGAGGAACGACCATCATAGGCATTTGCGTTCAACTTTCTGTTAATGGTACACCAGCAAGCAATACGCGTGCGAGCACCAGCACGAGTACTACCAGTACGACGGAATCTGCAGCACCGCGGCGACGCACGCGTATTGCCAGCTCGACTGGACTACCAATACGAATGGGTGCAGCAACACGAGCGGTACCAGCACGACCCGTGGCCGCATCTCGGTGGTTCATCTTGTCCTCTGGGCCTTCGCTTGATTCAGGGGTTGGAGACTCGATGCTGTCGGGGGTGGCGGCTTTGGGCCGCGTGGGGGGCGCGGCCAAGAGGCTCGTGCTGCCTCTTGAAAGGGTTCCCCAGGGGAATAGGAGCGAGGTGTTCGACGGGGACGTGACGCCGCGAGGTGGCGGCGGCTGCGGCGTGACTCCCCGCCTGTGGACCCCCCGCTCCTTTTGATCGAGGGTTGTCTCGTGCACGGGCTGGGGGCAGGTTTCCAATACTCTAACTGCCCTTCTCAGGTATCCCAATCCCTTCCTACCAGTGAGGGCCTTACCAATGAGGACCGCCATGAAGCGTCACACCCTTCGGATCTTCCATCCTAAGGGTTGTGGGGGTCGAACCAGGTCCCCACGAACCTGACATCGTACGTGCAATGCCGGGGTCGCGGCCCGTCTTCCCATCACACCATCCCTGAAGACGGGACGTGGGGGGCACGATTGGGCATCGTAGCCCGCTCAAAATCGAAAGGGGCATCATAGCCTCATCACTAACGCTTCCCATAAACATTCATTCAATGCGTAGCAACATGCTCTCTCCCCCAAGCGGCGAATCCGGCACCGCCCCTGGCCCTTGGCGCGTTCCGCGCGCACAGGGGGTGGGGCCCAGCGCCGATCCAAGAGATCCGCGCTGAGCCCCCTGAAACCCGACGTCACGTTTGTTCCGCACGCGCTCAAGAAACCGGGGCCCCCAAATACCCCAGAACTCTTGGAACGCACCCGAACCCATCGCACCATGACATCATTTTCGTCAAATTCCTGAACATGGGAGGTGTGGGGAACGACTTGGCACCATAGCCAAAAGAGACATCATTGCCTCATCCCTTACACGTCTCATTGCCATTCGTTCCATGCCTAGCAGCATGCTCTCCCCTCGCTGGAGGTGGCACCATGGTGCTGGTGGTGGTGGTGGTGGTGGTGGTGGTGGTGGCGTGCCCCCTCCTTCCTCCGACGCAAGCGGCCCCCCTCCCGAGCCCGACGCTGCTAAATAAAAACGAGCCTTCTACACTCCGCCTCCTCCCCTCGCCCTCCACCTCCTCGCCCTCTCCCTCGCCCTCCTCCCCCCTCCGCCTCCTCTTCCCCCCACCTCTGCTTCCTTCCTCTGCTCCTGATCGGCCTTCTCCTCCTCCTCCTTCTCCTCCTCCTCCTCCTCATCCTCCCCCTCCTCCCTCTCCCCGTCCTCCTCCTCCTCCTCCTCCTCCTCCTCCTCCTACATAATATCACGACGTCAGATCAGGCGACTGGGGCCCCCAGCAGGTCGCCAGTCCGGTGTTCCCCGGAAGCCAGAAGAAGCCCAAAGTATCAAGGATCCTTGATCCTCGACCCCGGGTAAGAAAACGAAAACAACCACATCAGCACTGCATTCCGAAGGAACTGCTTGAATGCCAGTGGAGCCGCCCGAACACTGACTTGACCAATCGGCCGTGATCCTCAAGGGCCACTGGCGAACCAGGTTAGCACTCGGGCCTTCCAGACATCACCTGAAAAGACTCATCCGACCCGAACGCTGACCAAACACAATATCCGATCCCGATCGGTGACTCTCGGGCGTGTCACCGCCCAAGAATCGGCCTCCCAAAGGTACTCTCGGTGGCGAAAAGATGATGATGAGGAGGAAAAAGAGCAGGATGAGGAGGAGGAGATCGGGGAGATTGGATCGGAGCGGGTCAGCATCGTTGACGCAGCTGGCTATCAGAACCCCCCTGTGGGGGTGGCCCACAGTAGAACTCTGCTTCAGGGTCTTCTTACGCTTCTTACAGAAGGAGTTGGCAACTCCCTGCCCCACCAAGAATTCCCTCCCTTCGGCACGGACTGGGATCGGACAGGGCTTTCCTAGCTTGGGGGGAGGCCCTTCTTAATTCGGTTCATGTATTTCTTGCCCGAGGGGGTGCACACCTTCAAACACGGTTCCGTCAGCGAAAAGAGCCTACTCATCTCGGTTGCCACGTTCGCGTAGTGACCGCACTTCCAGCACCAAACCAGTCCATGCAACATCCCGCAGACGTGGGAGCTGTGGACTTCTGCGGTTCGGGTACAGACTGGGCTAGTGAGTTGGGGGGGCACCAGGGCAAGGGTTCCAGCTTCGCTGCGGTTTCTACTCAGGGGGCCCCCACTACAGCGCGATCCTTCGAGCCCGTCAACCAGCGAACCCCTGCGATCCTTCGAGCCCGTCAACCAGCGAACCCCTGCCAGGGTCCAACCGACACACGCGGCAAGCCCAGCTCCCAGGGCCCAAACGGCCCAAGACGTGCCCAAACGCCTTCTCAAGCTCGAGCACACGCCTAGAGGCCCCCCCTTTCCCGCCTCGGGCGCTACCCTGGCGGGGCGGCCCTGTCTGCCAGCGGCCTTCGCCGCCCGCCAAGCTGTCAGCGCCACCGTCCGCAGGCGGGCGCGGGTGGCTACGGCATCGTCCGCGCGCAAGGCGAAGACCTCCGAGCGGATCGCCCGCGAGGCCTCCTCCGCCCCAAGCTGCGCAAAACTGTCAGCCACGTCGTTGCCTCTCGAAACTGCTGGGCATTGGCCCACTCGACGGTGGGGGACAACATCTATATGGTTGTAGCACTTGCGAAGCACAACCGGTCCCTCGCGGTTCCGCCAAGCTTCCGCCACGCGCTCACACCAGCGCCGTAAACTTCCGCTGGGCGTCTGCAAATCTACCTTGGTGCCAGCCATCAAAGAAAGACAACCTGGGCGCCAGTGTCAATTACCGCGTCACCTCGCGCGAGAGAAAGGCCCCACCGCAGCGCCGCCATTTCCGATGCTGGAACATATTGGTTACCGTCGACTCCTCCGCATCACCCCGGGGTCAGGGAGGCGCCCGAGGGGGTCGAGCCCAGGGGGGGAGGAGGAGGTGGAGATCCCTGGCCCCTACTGGATATAGCCCCCCACCCAACACGGCATTCGCGTCGGCCCGAAGACGACCCCGATCCGTCCATGAACGCCACGTTGGCAGCAACGCGCGCGTGGCCCGAGGGTGGGGCTCCGCTTGGGCCGAGGGTGGGGCACGGGGCGTCGACGGCTCGCACGTTCCAGGCGCGGTGGTCTCCCCAGACAGACGGCGGCGAGACCGAATTCCAGCTGGGAGAGACGATGCCCTGCAACCACAGGGCAGCGTTCGCATCTTGATCGAGCTCCCTAGCGGCTCTCCCGCACAGTCCTTGGGTCCTGATGACCCATGGGCGTTCACATTGCGAGATGGCAGGGCGTTCGTACAATCGGTGCCTGATGTTGTCATGCGCACCTAGATCGCACACTTTACGCAGTCCGTCGGTCTGGCACCCAGCCTGGCGAAGACGGGCCCCAATCCAATGGGTCCAATAGGCCACGCTCTCGAAGGCCCATGCCCCCTGAAACATCAGTTTCGTTGCGCATGCGGGCGACATTAATGCGAGGCATCGTGAGATCTCCCCCTCTCGCCAACGATGCCCCTTCAGCATGTTGCCCCACCTGGGTCCATTGCATTCGGGTGATTGTCTCGCCGAATGCTTCGCACGACTCGGCCAGGGCCCC